GGAGGTAGAGATGCTAGAGGTGGAGGTAAAGGTATTAGAGGTTGAGGTAAAGGTAATTAGAGGTGGAGGTGCAGGTATTGTTCTGGTATGTGGTAGAGAAGCTTTGATTTTATTTTGCGCCATATTTGGTCATGCCTAGCGATGCATGGGTATTCCTGTTTATGTGTCTACGCTGGTGGGTGATTCCATCGTGGTCGATCGAGTCCATCGCTCTTGTGTTATGGTGATTGGGGGTCTGGAGACTCGTGTAGATCTGTTGGTTTTAGATATGGTCGACTTTGATATTATATTGGGGATGGACTGGTTATCACCCTATCACGCTACCTTGGATTGTCATGCCAAGACTGTGACCTTAGCTTTATCGGGTATGCCTCATTTAGAGTGGAGAGGGACTCTTGGTCATTCTACCCACAGTGTTATATCGTATGTGAAGGCTCGGCGTATGGTCGAGAAGGGGTGTTTGGCCTATTTAGCCTATGATCGGGATTCCAGTGCTGAGGTTTCCTCTATCGATTCTGTGCCCGTTTTTTGTGAGTTCCCTAATGTTTTTCCTTCAGACCTGCCGGGTATGCCATCCGACAGGGATATTAATTTCTGCATTGATCTGGTTCTGTGCACTCAGCCCATTTCTATCCCGTCGTATCGTATGGCCCCATCGGAGTTGAAGAAGCTAAAGGAACAGTTGCAGGATTTGCTTGAGAAGGGTTTCATTAGACCCAGTGTCTTACCTTGGGGTGCGCCGGTGTTATTTGTAAAGAAGAAGGATGGGTCAATGAGAATGTGTATTGATTACCGGCAATTGAACAAGGTAACGATCAAGAATAAGTATCCACTACCGAGGATTGATGATTTGTTCGACCAGCTTCAGGGTGCCAGGGTATTCTCCAAGATTGACTTGCAATCTGGCTACCATCAGTTGAGTATTTGGGCATCCGATGTCCCTAAGATAGCTTTCCGCACTCGGTATGGGCATTATGAGTTCTTGGTTATGTCATTCGGGTTGACGAATGCCCCAGCAGCTTTCATGGACTTGATGAACCGAGTGTTCAAGCCTTATTTGGATTCATTCGTGATAGTGTTCATTGATGATATATTGATATACTCCCGCAGCCAGGAGGAGCATGAGCAGCACCTTAGAGTGGTTCTTCAGACTCTGAGGGATAGTCAGTTATACGCTAAGTTCTCGAAGTGTGAATTCTGGTTGGGTTCAGTTGCATTTCTGGGCCATGTTGTATCAGTAGAGGGTATTCAGGTGGACCCAAAGAAGATAGAGGCAGTCAAGAACTGGCCTAGACCAGCATCAGCTATAGAGATTCGGAGTTTCTTAGGGTTGGCAGGCTACTATCGACGGTTCGTGGAGGGATTTTCATCTATTGCAGCCCCGATGACCAGATTGACCCAGAAAGGTGCCCAGTTCGGATGGTCGGATGAGTGTGAGGCGAGCTTTCAGAAGCTCAAGACAGCTATGACTACGGCACTGGTGTTGGTTTTGCCCACAGGTTCAGGGCCTTATACAGTTTATTGTGATGCTTCCCGTATTGGGCTTGGAGCAGTGTTGATGTAGGCTGGCAAGGTCATTGCCTATGCTTCGAGACAGTTGAAGATTCATGAGAAGAACTATCCAGTGCATGATTTAGAGTTGGCAGCCATTGTTCACGCATTGAAGATTTGGAGGCACTATTTGTATGGCGTGGCGTGTGAGGTGTTCACTGATCACAAGAGTCTTCAGTACTTAGTCAAGCAAAAGGAGTTGAATTTGAGGAGAGGAGATGGTTGGAGTTGTTGAAGGATTATGACGTCACCATTTTATATCATCCGGGGAAGGCCATTGTGGTGGCCGATGCTTTGAGTAGGAAGTAAGCCAGTATGGGCAGTCTTGCTTATATTCCGGTCAGTCAGAGGCCGCTTGATTTGGATGTTCAGGCTTTGGCCAATCGATTTATGAGGCTGGATATCTCTGAGCCTAGCCGAGTATTACCTTGAACGGTCGCTCGTTCTTCATTATTGGAGCGTATCCGTGATCGACAGTTTGATGATCCCCATTTGTGTGTCCTCAGAGACATGATGCAGCGAGGAGGTGCCAAGCAAGTTACCTTAGATGCGGATGGAGTCTTGAGATTGAAGGGGCGAGTTTGTGTGCCCAATGTGGATGGGCTTCGAGAGTTAATTTTAGAGGAGGCCCATAGTTCCAGGTACTCTATTCATCCGGGCGCCGCGAAGATGTATCAGGATTTGCGGCAGCATTATTGGTGGCGTAGAATGAAGAAGGATATTGTGGCATATGTGGCGCGGTGTTTGAAGTGTAAGCAGGTTAAGTATGAGCATCAGAGGCCTGGTGGTTTATTTCAGAGGATTGAGCTTCCCGAGTGGAAGTGGGAGAGGATCACTATGGACTTCGTTACCGGACTTCCGTTGACCTGGAAGAATTTCGATGCAGTTTGGGTCATTGTTGATAGGCTGACCAAGTCAGCGCATTTCATTCCTATGGCAGTCTCCTATTCATCCGAGAGGTTAGCTGAGATCTATATCAGGGAGATTGTTCGCCTTCATGGTGTGCCTGTATCTATCATTTCGGATCGGGGTATGCAGTTTACCTCGCGCTTATGGGGAGCAGTCCAGCGAGAGTTGGGCACACGGGTTGAGTTGAGCACAACATTTCATCCCCAGACGGACGGTCAGTCCGAGCGGACTATTCAGATTTTGGAGGATATGCTTCGAGCTTGTGTTATTGACTTTGGAGGTTCGTGGGATCTATTCTTGCCTTTAGCGAAGTTTGCCTACAACAACAACTACCAGTCGAGCATCCAGATGGCTCCTTATGAGGCTTTGTATGGTAGGCGGTGCCGGTCTCCGATCGAATGGTTTGAGCCGGGAGAGGCTCGGTTGATAGGTACAGATTTGGTTCAGGAAGCCTTGGACAAGGTCAAGATCATTCAGGATAGACTTCGTTCAGCTCAGTCCAGGCAAAAGAGCTACGCAGATCGTAAGGTTCGAGATGTAGCTTTCATGGTAGGTGAGCGAGTATTGCTCCGAGTGTCGCCTATAAAAGGCGTGATGAGATTTGGGAAGAAAGGCAAGCTTAGCCCCAGGTTCATTGGCCCGTTTGAGATTCTTGATCGAGTGGGAGAGGTGGCATACAGACTCGCGTTGCCGCCTAGCTTATCAACCGTGCATCCAATTTTTCATGTATCCATGCGTCGGAGGTATCACGGCGATCCAGCCCACGTGTTAGACTTCAGCACTGTCCAGTTGGACAAGGATTTGTCCTATGAGGAGGAGCCGGTAGCTATTCTTGACCGGCAGGTTCGTCAGTTGAGATCCAAGAATTTTCCCTCTGTGCGTGTTCAGTGGAGAGGTCAGCCCCCTGAGGCATCGACCTGGGAGTCCGAGTCCGATATGCGGAGCCGTTATCCTCATCTTTTCCCCGACACAGGTACTCCTTTCTTTTGTCCGTTCGAGGATGAACGGTTATTTTAGAAGTGGAGAATGTGACGATCCAAAGGGTCATCACTTGCTTCCTTACTCATTCTGTGCTTCTGAGGCCTTGAAAACCTCATTTGGGGTTGCCTCGATTTGCGTGCGCAGTCCGGGCACGTAGCCGGAAATCTTAAATATGAATTCTGTGAGAAAAATACTAAATTTTGATATTAAATTGAAATAATTTGACTTCGGTCAACGTTTTGGGTAAACGGACCCGGACCCGTGATTTGACGGTCCCGGAGGGTCCGTAGAAAAATATGGGACTTGGGCGTATGCCCGGAATCGAATTCCGAGGTCCCAAGCCCGAGAAATGAATTTTTGTGTGAAATTATTTTCTGGAAATAATTAAGGAAGTTGGAAATAAAATTTGATTAAAAGACTATGGTATCGGGCCCGTATTTTGGTTTCAGCGCTCGGTACAAGTCTTATATATGGTTTAAGCGCTTTCTGTAAAGTTTGGTTGAAAACGGACGTCGTTTGACATGTTTCGGACTTAAAATGGAAATTTAATGTTTTATGAAAATTTGGAAGGAATCATGAAATTTGAGGCTTAGTTCGATTTATATGATGTTATTTTGGCGATTTGATCGCAGGGATAAGTCCGTAGGATGTTTTTGAGGTTGTGTGCATAATTGGTTTGAAGCCCCGAGGGCTCGGGTGAGTTTTGGATAGGTGTCGGAATGCATTTTTGAACTTTGTAAAATCTGGTATGCTCAGCTCTGTGGTTTTCGCATTTGCGAAGATCATCTCGCAATTGCGAGCTCGCAAATGCGAGATTTGGTCGGATGGTAGTTGTGAGCATGTGATTTTTGCCATGTTTAATTTACTCCTACAAATCCATTAAAATTAGGATTTTCCCTTTAATTATTTGATTTCTAGGAATTAATTGCATAATTTTGGTGTCTTGTTTGCATTTTTTGTCTGCGCATTTTTATTCATAAAAAAAATATAAAAAAATATGTTGCATTTTTAATTCATAAAAATACAAAAAATGTGTAGCATTTTAATTCATAAAAAAATACAAAATATGTTGCATTTTTTGCATTTAGGCATTTAATTTCACAATTCTAGTATTAATTAGGTATTAATTTAGTTTCAAAATAAAAAGAAAATTGCAAAAATAGAGTTTTGAATATTTTAGGGAATACATAGTCTAATTATGTCCTTGTTTTAGCATAAGCAACAAATAAACAAATATATATAAATACAAAAAGAGAAAAAGAAAGAAAAAGAATTAATAAAGTTGGTCTTGTTAAAGGACCCAAAATTTGGGCCAAAATACAATTCTAGCCCAAAAGAGGACCCAAAATTCGGCCAAGACCCAGCCCAAACATCCCTGATCCGGTCCAGCACCCCCCAATCCCAAAACGACGTAGTTTAGTTGGTGATAATCTCAACCTTTGATCTATTTTTATCCAACGATCCGGAACTCAACCATCAATTAATATATATATGTCCTAACCATACCCCACCCCCCATTCACTCATCTCTCTCACACCCCACTCCCTTCCCCACCGGAAATCCCCACCTCCACAGCCCCACCGCATCTCCGCCCCCTCCCGCCTTCCGCCGCCGGCCGGAAATCGCCTCCGCCGGCGGCGGTGCTCCAAATAACCCAAAAAATACACCATGGAATCCTCTCATCCTCCTCTTTCCAACCCCCAACCTAATTTCCCTCAAATCACAACCAAAATGCTCGGATTTCAAATCTAAAATTCTGCCAAAACCCTACCTTCTCCAAACTCAACCAAATTAACACCATACACTCCCCTCACCCTCCTCATTCCAAATCTCCAAACAACAACCTTCAAAACTTAACCAAAATACTTGAATTTTAAATCTAAAACCAACGAAACCCTAGTTCAAAATCTTTGAGATTCTCGACCCTAATATCCTTAACCAGGTGTCTTCTTGTGAAGACACATGGTTAGGTATATTACGGGTCAAGAATCTTAAAAAAGATTCGCGTGTCCGGGGATCGAATCAAGTTTGGCCGCCTCTAGATACCAAAAACAGTGAGTTTTCCCTTTTCCTTTTTCCTATTCTTATTTTTTTTTTGTGACTATTCTGTTTTTTTTTTCTTTTTCTCATTTTTTTTTTGCTTCTGTTCCGTTTTTTTTGTTGTTTATTATTTTTTTTTGTTGTTTTGTTTTGTTTGATTGTTTCGTTCTGATTTTCATTTTTTGTGTTCTGTTTTATGTTCTTTTTTGTTTGTTTGTTTTTAAGTTTTTAGTTAGTTTTACTTTAGATTGAAAATTAGTAGTAATTTTTTTTAAAATTGTTATCATTGATTTATTTAGTAGTTGATTAGTATTAGTAATTAATTTAGTTCATAATTAAGTTTTAATTTGAATATCAGTAATTGTTTGTTTAATATTTGTGTTTTAAATTTTGTTTAGGTATTGCATTTATAATTAATTTAATGTTCTTGTAGGCTTATTGATTTGGTTATAGCTGATAGTTTTAGTCTAGCTTGGTAATTTTAGACTAGTAAAAGGGTAGTATAGGCATGGGTAAAGGGTAGTTTTTTAGGATCTGGTAAATTTCAGAATATTTCAAGGGTAGTTTAGGAATTTTAGATTAAAAAAAGGCATCAAATCTGTTAGGAAGAAGGTACGAGAAGATAAGAGAATATTTTTCTGTTAGGGGTGAACAGATTTTAGATATTTTAGAGGGGTAAAAAGGGTAAAACAAGCCAAAAAAGAGGGGTAGAAAAGGGATTAAATAGCTAGGCAAAAATCTGCCATACGAATGTATATATAGACCATTAGTATTGATTAAAAAGGAAGAGGAAATCTGAAAACAGTAGAAGGAGAAAATCTAAAACAGTAAAAAAAGGGAGAGAGCTAAGAATCTGAAGAAAACAAAAAAAAAACAGCACGTATTGGAGATGATTTGAATTTGGTTCCAAGCTGGTTTGGAGTTTTGCTGTTCGAGTTACTATTTTATTGGGTCTTCCGAGATATTTTTGGTTCAAGCTATTTGAGTATTGTAATTTGTGGGATTGTGGGCTAAATTCTCTGTTCTGGTGTGTTGAATCTGGGTTCTAGTTGCTGTCTACTGCTGAAACTCACCTCTTTCTATTCTTATTTCCAGGTATCTTTCCTAGCCCAATGAACCATGACTAAGTGCTAATCATGTAACTCAGTGACTATGATGGAATACAAATTGCATTTCGATTCAACCTCTGTTTCTGTTTCCTCTTTTATATTACGTTATATGTGAGCCTCCAATATTAGGCATTAGATAGTTGGCTTAGCATGCTATGGATTTGGTTCTATATTTGTGTTTAAACTTTTTTTTTTATGATTAAATGGTATAATTAGAGAGTACCCGAATAGGAGTTGTATACCTTTCTTTGGACAAACAGATCATGGACTTTAATTGGTAGTTCTATTTTAATTTTATATCTTTATAAGTTCATTTTAATCTAGTGAATCAATTTGCAAAATCAAACTATGTTCAAACGCTATTCTGTAAATTATCAAAATCAAACGCTATATAATTGAACATAGTTTGATTTTGATATCAATTTAATTAAAAAAATCAAATTGAATATTTGAATAAAATTGATAGCGTTTGTGCAAATTTGTTTACAGAATCCCTGGTCATGCTTTTGTGCAAATTGAGATGACTTTTGTGTGGGCCGTAAGCATGTGGAAACTATTTTCTAAATTAAAACAAGTTTGGGCCCTTCAAGGGTTCAAGATGCAGTCCCGTTCAAAGTACAAATCTGAGGCCCGTTTCCCTGGGTCACGTTTGGGCTGAATTCATACCCTGGACCTTTAATAATTGGCCCAGTGCTTCGTCACTGCCCTTGTATCACCTGATTACTTGAAGTGTGGATCGCGAGTGTCTGCTTAAATAATCTCGGTCAATAGTTTTATTAATTAAAATCTCGGAAGCTTAATTTGGCCACCTTGTTATTTTGGAATTAAGGCGCGTCATGCCAAACAAAAGTGACAATTGAATGGCCCTCGTTTAATTAATCTTGTCTATCCTTAGAAATCGAGGCGTGCCATTTAGCGAATTTCCATGGCCCTCGCAAATTGCAAATACAAAACTACTTTATGCACGGTAGTTTAATAATCTTACCTTCCTAACTACGGGTGCACATTTATGTGACCCAAATCCAAATCTCAACAAGGTTGAAATGTGCCAAAAATCACGGGCGTACTGGTGCGACGTGGTTTGAGATACATTTTTACGATGTTGCAAGTCTTATAAGAAATATAAATAAAAGCGGTTTTTAATTTAAAATGCGCATAAGTTAAAACATGTATTAAAATCAGATTTTTAGCCAATTATAATAATTTAAGCGACCGTGCTAGAACCACGGGACCCGGGGGTGCCTAACACCTTCCCTCGGGTCAACAGAATTCCTTACACAGAATCTCTGGTTCGCAAACTCCAATTGGGAGTCGAAATTTTCCTCGATTTGGGATTTAAACTAAATCGGTGACTCGGGACACCAAAAACCTGTCCTTTCCCGAGTGGCGACTCTGAAAAATAAATAAATAATCCCATTTCGAATAATGTCACTTTAAATGGAAAAAATCCCTTATACACTATCCTTCGGGGGGTAGGTGTGTAAAAAAGGAGGTGTGACAGTAGTTGTTCATACTTTGATGACCTTTGTCCTTATTGTGGACCACACTTGTGGCAAAATTATTTAAATTCTCCCGGGGGCGGATTGTGCGCACAATCTCAAACCCATGAGTGGAGTATTTGTGATAAGTGTGGTCGTCAAAATGGTTATTGGGAGTATTGTGCTTATTTGTCCTTGCCTTCCCCAAGCCCCCGCTATGATGATTCTACTTTTTGTGGTGAAATTTATAGGGATGTGGAGGTGGAAGAAATTGAGCATGGTCAAAATGGAGAGTTCAAGCTCATGTTAGAATGCCTACTTGAAGGAGGAAACAAAGAGCAAAGTGCCTTGGAGGAGCTTTTGGAAAATAGTCTCCAAAATGACTTGGCGCTTGTAAGGTTGCACTCACAAATGGGATAAATGCTTGAAGCTTTAGAGGTCCAAGAAACCACGGAAGTTAATGATAGCCAAGAATCTTCCTTGGAGGTTGAAGCCGAAAATCCTTCCTTGGCACTTGATCCAAATCAAGAAGAACTCTCAAATGCTCAAAATGAGAGGATGATACTTATGTTGGAGGCCATTCTTGAAAATGAGGGGAAACACAACTTTGCACTCGAGGACTTGAAGCAAGTCTTGACTAAAAATGATGAGGATATCCGCACTTTGGAAGGTCAAATGAAAATATTGGTTGAGGCTCACTACAACCACCAACTTGAGAGTGTGGAAAGAAGTCAAGAAGAGTCCGATTTCGAGGAAGAAAGTGAGCGTTATTTTGAAGAATCAAGAATTGAACATCCGCCAACCGACTCCATGCTTGTTAGTGATGCCAAGAAAAATATTGAATTAGAGTCTGCCAGTGTAAATGAAAATTTGATTGAGACTGACTCTAGTCCGTGAGAAAAAGAGGATGTCAAAATTCGGGAAGAATTGCAATTTGGAGGTTTGATGTCACATTCCAAGCATTTTTCAACATTGGACTTGTGTGGTGATATGGGAGTTGAACTACACGAGTTAATGAGGCATTGCGAGGAGGAAAGGCAAAGGCCATACATCTTACAATTTGAGGGAACAAGAAAACAAAATGACATTCCTCACATGAAAGCCAAGAAGTGCAAAATGAAGAAATTAATGCTTGGCTTGATCATCTATTTACCACCCTTATTGCTCGTGGTCACAAGCTTGATTCCAAGTTAGGTGCCCAGTTCATATCGTCCAAGTGGTGAGAAAAGTGGTAAAGCTGATCCGTGTCATGACACGACATTAAATGTGGCGCTTGGTGGGAGGCAACCCATCGTTTTCAAAAAAATTTAGTCATTTTTGAAATTTTCTTTTTTTAGAATAGCTTAGTATATTATTTTTAACTAATCTGCCAAGTTTTACATTTTTTGGAGTTCTTTTTAGCAGGTTGCGTGGTACGGGCAGTCCATACTAGTAGCTACAGAAAAATTGCAGAAAACTGCAACTAATCGCGATCACAATAAAAGACACGCGTTCGCAGAGAACAAAATTTCTCTATCACTATGCGATCGCAGAAATAGAGACACAATCGCGCCATTTTGATAAATTTGTGCAACGCGAACGCCGTAATTTTCATGCGATCGCGATTCACAGGTGTGTTTTAAACTTCAAAACACTGGAAATACCTAAGGACTCCCACTTTGATCCAAACAAAGAAACATCACTCTCCTTCACCCCTAACCCCTGAAACCATCTCCAATCTTCCTCTTGCTTCAGTTCCATTGCTTCACTCATTTATCATCCTCAAGGTAAGTAGATTTCTCCCTTAACTCTCTTTTTTTTCTTTCTTTTGTAATTCTTATTGTGAAATAGTACAATGGCCGCCCTATGTTCAAGATTTTAGGGCTTGAGTTTCATTTTCCTTGTCAAAAGTAAATGTTGTATGCTTTGTGTGCTTGCTTGCTGTGAGAGATTGGTTGAGAGTTTGAGTGATGTTTTGTGAAGATTTGGGCTAAAAATCCATGGTTTGATAGTGTGAGATTGTTGAGAAAATTGGGGGAAACAACCTGTTCGATGGAATGCCCAAACGAACTGTCACTCGACGAGGAAGAAGACCCTCGCAATCACGATGATTCATTCTGCGATCGCATAGGTCTGATTCTGCAGAGAACCAAAATTTTACATCACGATCGCGTACATCCTTCTGCGATCACGTAGCTTTATTGCAACTAGAAACAAAATTCTTCTTCGCGATCGCATAGCAAGTTCTGCGATCGCGATTCATTGAAGCCCAGGCAGCAAAAATAGTAGCCTTGCAAATTTTTATTCTAAGGCCTTTTGATCTCCTTCTTTGGCCTAAATACCTTCTAATACAATGCGTTAAGTGTCCATACTGGTATTTAACTTGTTTAATTCTTTTGTAGGTACTTTGAGCTCTAAATGGATCCGGCAGCAAATGAAAATGTTCAAGAATATGTCGAACAAGTTTCCGAAGAGGAGTAGTTTGATCGGGACATATTCTCATCATTAAGTAGTTCCTGCCACTACGACAAACAATTGTGTAGAAGTATGATTAAAGGAATAGGCATTCTCTTGACTGACCTTGAAGGTCGATGGCCCGAGTTCCATGGAAGATTAATATCGAGTGGATAGATTTGCTTTGCGGAAGAGCCAAGAACAGCCAATCATGATGTGATAAGAGAATTTACACAAATGCTGTAGAGACCGACTTCAAGAATGATTTGGTTGTTACCGTCAGGGGCAAACAAGTCCGCTTTGATCCAGCGCGGTTAAATGCATATTACAATCTTCCTGATGCTGACAACCAGGTGTACAGGAATAGATCTAAAGACTTGGGCACACAGTGGTTTGTAGACCATTTGCACGGTGGAAAGATGCCGAACTGGATAAGAAATCACTCAAGGATCGAGTCTTCTGAATTCAATGCCGAGGCCAAAACTTGGCTCTCCATTATCTGTGCTCGAGTCATGCCTTCACGAAATGAGACTGAGGTGACACTTGAGAAGGCAAGGGTGATTTGCGCAATCATAAAGGGAATACCGGTGAATGTGGGATGGCTTATTGTTGATAAGATAGCAGAGGTTGTTGCAGAGAGGACTAAGAGTTTATTCTTCCCATCCCTGATCAATCACTTGTGCTATGAGGCCGAGGTGGAGAAGAGGCCTGCAGAGAACAAAAAGAACCTAGAGAAGCTCATCCATTGCTGAGAAAGGGAGCAGGGAATGCACGGAAGAAAAGAAAATTGATGTAGCATCTCCCTCATTTGGCCAGTGTCCTGACACCATCATTGAGATACCCGATTCTGTCACAGATGCCACAGGGCCTTGTACTGCCATTGTACCACTTGATCAGTGGCCTCTCACACTCAGGTATATCTCTCGCCAGGTTTATGGCGTAGAGACACAGGTCCGCCAGCTTGTAGCTGGTCTCCCTTCTGGACTGTCTTGAGAGGGCACATCTGCAGGTCCAGCTGGCTAAGGAAAGGTTCCAACTTTGTCAGATCTTGCTAAGGAGCAACAAGCCATTAAATCCAAATTGGGTAAGATTGAGCGGAGGCAGCTGAAGCAGAGAGAACATGAAAAGAAGAAAAGCAAATTCTTGACAAAGATGATGAACAC